GGCAGAGAGGCAGAGAGGCAGAGAGGCAGAGAGGCAGAGAGGCAGAGGCAGGCATTTCTCTGAGTTCGAGGCTGGCCTGGTTTACATAGGGAGTTCTAGACAGTCAAGATAACACAGAAAACCCGTCCTCACAAAACCAAAATCAAACCAAACCAAAAACAACAACAATAACAACAAAATCCAAACAATCAAAAACCCAAACTACCCCCCTAAAACAAGCCCCACAAATCTCAGCATTTATAATCAGGCAAGGCACTGGTGACTTGCATTGCTGTGAAGGAAAAGACTTGATAGAAACAACTTCAGAAAGGAGCGAGCTGTCTGGGCTCATGGCTTCAGAGTGTCTAGTTCATAACTGTGGCAGCCCTCAGCAGAAGATAGCAGTTACATGATGGCTGTCAGGAAGCAGCCAGTGATAACAGACCCCTAAGGATCAAAATCACTTCCAGAATATCCCAAAATAATGCCACCAACCAAAGACCAAGTGTCTCCATGATGCTTGGGGGACACTGCTGATTTAAACTGTAATATAAGGTACACTTGAGAAAACTTCTACGTATGAACTTGTATGGACTATCTCACACTACAGTTTATATATATGCTTGTATGTATGTATGTATGTATGTATGTATGTATGTAGTATGTATGTATGTATGTATGTATGTATTAAAAGTTCCTCTACCCTACATTATATATATTTGAGGGCTTGAATTTTATTTTTATAATTTTTTAATTTTTGAAACTATAATATACCATCCCCCTTTCCCTTTCTTCTCTCTCACCCCTCCCATGCACCTCTTTGCTCTCTCAAATTCATGGCCTCTTAAATGTTCACATAGACATGCTCTCGCACACCTAAATATTTAACTAGAACTTGCCAAGTTTACATAAAGTAGAATGTATATACTTCCAAGGCTGACCACTTCGTATTGGAGAAGCAGCTTGGGGACCGGGCTCCACAAGTCCCCTCCTCCCACATTTTCATGCCTGTTGGTTCAGGTTCGGGTCCCTTTTGATGTACTTTTATCTGTCATCTGTCATGGACCTTGGCCCTCTGTGATGATTTCTTCTTGTGTTTTTGATGCTCCTGGGGCCTCGTTTATGTTGACATTCCACTGCTGAGCTACATTCAAACCTTCCTTTCACTGTATCTTGAGGAAGGCTTTCATTAAGGTGCTTAGGCTGGTTTTAAGGCATGGAGAATGATGATAAAATTTTATTTCCATTGAAAAATATTAAGACTGATGGTCTACCTAAATAATTGTCAAAGTGGTGGTTGATCTAACTAGAGATAACATAACTACAGCTGAGCATACAACGTAGAGGCAGAGAAAGCTTGCTTAGTGTGCCCAACACTCTGGGCACTACAAGACAAACTCAGACCAAAGCAAAGCAAAAGAAAACAATGCTGAGTTCTGATTCCTGAGAAATGTAATTAAATTATCTTCATAAAAACCATGGAAATTGAGACCTAGAGGCACTGTTGCTGCCATATGGCAGTGGACACATGGAAGACACCCAGAGTGGAAGACAACTA